ACACACACACACACACACACACACACGGTCCTAAAGATAGAACCCAGGGCCCCCCAGACATGCTAGGCAACAGCTTTACCACTGAGCCACACTCCCAACCCAAGGATGATTCTCAACTTAAAATAAATGAAATGTTTACTGATAACATGTTAGGAACCAAAATATTAACTTAAAATATTGGAAATATCACATGTACTGAGTAACAATCAGATGCAATGAAGAACTTCTCCGATTACACATATGCATGTTTTAGTTAGTGAACCCACTGGAAAATACCAAATTTTGATATTGCAAAATCAAATGAAGGAAATAAAACTCCCTCATTTGAAGGAAAGCTCAGCCTTTGGAGGCTGGTCCTGGAATTCTTACATACGACTAATGTCAGAGAAAGGAATTAGCTTCATGCTGAGGGTAATCCTTGGCTAAGATTAGCTCTGTATGATGTATTATATTACCACAAGCCAAATAAAAATCAACAAAAAATTATTTGCTTTAGAATTAAACTTCTAATATGACCCTGATTCTAACCAAAATAAGCTCTTTAGCAACCAGGTGGCTGAGGTGTATTTGTGTTTGTGTGTGCATATGCTACACTTGTCACAACTCCTACGGTTCAGCTTGATCACTTTAAACAATAGCTCAGTTTTATTTTAAGAACGAAGTTAAATACTCACAAAGAAGCACAGTGTGAGTGTGGCCGTATGTGAAAGTGGTAGGGAGACTGTCAAAAAGACAGCCTGCCCACTGTCTGATTGGATTTGACTGCTGTGTACCAATTGGTGTGATATTTTCTGGAGATTATGTATAGTGAATAATTATCAGTAATTTAGTACTACTCAGTGGCATTGCTTGGTCCTAAATTTTAGTCATTTTTTTAAAGATGAACAAGGAACAGGATGAGACAGCACCATTTTGTATAACCTTTCTCAACTCTTCAAAAATGAAAACCATTTTTAACATATAAAACCTCCAAGGCTCTATCCAGGTCTAAAACACTGCGGTTCCACATTTTTACATGGCGCTAACGTGAAGAATGGTTAGCATCTTATAAGAAATAAAATTAAAATAGACAGTGCATTATGATAACACTGATACAAAACATTGACCAAACATGGCTTTCTTGCCCTATCTGAGGAGACAGTATTCTGGTTTGTGGCAACATAAATGTGGAGAAATAAATCACAAGTAATCTTAGATATTGTAGTCCAGGCATGTTTTCTCAGTGTTCATACAATTTTTAGCTTCTATAATGATGGTTTCTACTTGACCTTTAATATATTAAACAACTGAAAGAACTCTAATGTTGCCTCTAATGTACCCCGCAAAAGTTTTAAGAAAGTTTTAGTGGATTGCTCATTTTAACTTAATTTAATTTAATTTAGCTGTTGTCATGAGGAAATAAAGCAATTTTGCTCCCATGAAATGAACTATAATCTGGAATCATTAATGTTCATTGACAGATAGTCACTTTGTTAATGTTGTGTCATTGTTTAAATGGTTCTTCACAAATGCTATGACAATTATCAAAATGATACTAAACTCTAGCAATAGATTAAATAACATAATTAACAATGTGACAATAAGAACATTAGTTTTTTTTATCATGCCATTCTATGTTTTCAAAAGAAAATGCGTTTCATTCTAAATGGCAGAAACTGTCTATCCACCTTCCTTGTCAGTTTATTTATGGGTAAATTATATCTATCAGCACAGCTGCAGGAGGTGACTTCTGAGATGGGCTCCAATAATCCCTTCTTCCTGGCAGTCATAGCCGGTAGAGATTGGTTGGTCTGTGTAACCAGTAAAATGTGACAAAAGTAATGATGTAATACTTCCAAGAGGAGGTTGTAAGAGGCACTTGGCCTCTATCTTGTCTTTTTTCTCCTGGATTGTTAGCTCTGGGCAAAGCCTGCTGTCTTTTTGAGTAGCTCAACAGCAAAGCCCATATAAGAAGTAATAAAGGCTTCCAATAGCTGGTGAAGGACTAAAGGAAGCCATCTGCCGAGACACACATTAGTGAGCCAACAGGGGATCCCCTGGCCCCAGGTTAGCCTTCAGATGAGGCAGCCCCAACCTCCCTATGTGAGGGACCCTCAGCCACAATTACTTGGCTGAGCCATTATTGGACTCTTGACCCTCAGAAAGAAAGAGCTGGGCATGGTGGTGTGTGCCTGTCATCTTAGCACTCGGGAGGCTGAGGCAGGAGGATTGCTGTGAGTTTGAAGCCAACCTGGGCTACATACTGGGTTCAAGGCCAGCCTGAACTACTTTGTGAGATCCTGACTAAAAAAAAAAGAAAATTTCAAAAAATCTTCTTTTTAATAGTTCAATTTTATCTTTATGAAGAAAATTAAAAACTCAAAGTGGGGCTTGCTGGCATACAGGTGTAACCCCATCTACTTGGGTGGCTGTGGCAGGAGGATTTAAAACTTGAGTCTAGCCTGGACAACAAAGTGAGACACTGGCCAAACAAAACAAAAGTAATGAAAAGACCAGAAACTTACCATCCTTTTAATAGCAAGTGAGGATTCCAGCAACAAATTTTTGTATTCAAACATAATAATTGGTTAAACTCATTGTAAACATACTGAGATAGTTTCACAATAGCAAACACATTTCATAGAAATAAATTATAAAATGATGTTACTGTTTTGTATATTGTTTCTGAAGAATACTACTGCCTTTAGTCCTGCAGACTCTTCATTTGGATTGGCTTTTTAAAAATTATTATTCAGGCAGAAAAGATACCAGGTTGGGCCCATCTACTTGTCAATAAATCAAAGTGTTACCAACGAGTAGCCCTATCATGAGCAATGTAGGTCACATCTTAACTCTAGATCTCCCCAGGACACCAGGACACAAAATATATTCCTTTTATGGCATGTTCAGCTGGTTTGCAAGCCACTTTTTAATTCAAGCAAATTAAGCCATGGTAGGCATCTCCCTTGATTCTGGGACACTGTATCTTGTTTCTCTGCTCTCAGAAATTTTATTTCCAGAAATGAATATTGATCAATTGCTATGGGCTGGTAGTGTACTTAGTCTGTCTCCATTATAATTTTTGTTAATTATGGGATTTTAATGATTTGTTTTCTATTGATGGAAGTAGATGATTCTACAGTGAAGTTTGACTTTTGTGCAGAGAAGAGTTATAACTATGCCCCCATGCTCTGCTCCCTGGACTAGCGGTGATTTCAGGAGAACTCCAGATATCTTTAGGTAGAAAAGTGACAGGCTAAGAGGTCTGTTTTAATAGTGGAAATAGTATGTATACAAAACTCAATTTGCACTAGACTTGGAGAACAATATATATTGTGAAAATATTTATTTAGTTGATGTGAGGCCAGGTGGGTAAGCATATAATAATCATAGATGCCAAGATTTATTAAATGCTCACCATAAAGCCAACTCACTCCATCGTACATTAGCCCTAAGGAAGGAACTATTGTTATATCTCCATTATACAGATGATAAAACTGAGACACAGAGAAGTGGTATAAGTTTATGCAGCTAACAAGTCAAGGAACTGGCCTCAGAACAAATACTGTATTCAGTTCCTTTACTCATTTGTTAACCCTGAGAATGAATTATACCTTAAATAACAGCAAGGCAAG